TCGGCTGTTAAACGCTGTCGTAATGATACTTAAACTGGAATGTTTGTTTCGTTGATATCAGAGTTTGTTATTGGTTTGATCAAAAATTAAAACACCCTGGGTATCTATGCTAGATAGTTTTACGCTCTTTTAAGCGGCTCATTGAATACACTCCGTTAGAAAGTGAACGGAAGTGGAACATTCGACCGATGCGCGGGAGAGTACATGTATATGTCAGGCTACTGTTTTGGGAGTGACATCTCGCAACTGTGGGTGGATTTGAATGAACTAGGTCGTATAACTTTAGCTTATTTTGAAGTATTATTTCAAACAACAACAACAACAACAACAAAAAAAAGGAAATTTAAAATTAAATTTCATTACTAACCCAAGATTCTTTTGTGGCTAAAATGTTTTTAATGCTTGAGTGCTGAACACAGATGTAATATTATATTTTTGTTGTTGATATTTAGGAGTCTGTATTGCATGTAAACAAGTTGGGAATGAAGTAAACATGTCCTGTTATTATGTCACATGTGTTTTATGATGTTTTAGTTATACGACTTGAAAAAAAGAGAGAAATGTTTTCCCGCGGTTGAAAGTGATATCGCTCCTTACATAAAATGATATAACGCTATCATTTAAGGTGTTTCTTACAAAATTGAAAATTGTTAATATCTAAGAGTTTACAAAATCCGTTTAATACCTTTTGATACGCTTTTTTATGCTTCCCGAAGGGAGAGCATATAGTCGCCGCCTTGTCCGTCTGTCCTTCTGTCCGTCCGTTGTCTTGTCCGGAGCATAACTTGAAAACACTTAGAGATAATTTGTTTAAACTTCACACAGTGGTAGAGGACATCGAGGCAGAGTGCAGTGTCAAAGAACCATAACTCTATTTTGCCCCGTTTTTGTATTATCTCCCCTTTTAGAAAAATCTTATCCGGGACATTACTCTAAAACTATAAGAGATATCAACATGAAACTTTGTAGGAAGAAAGATCTCAATGCGTAGTTGTGCGGTGCACAGGAACCGTAACTCTGCCCTACCTTATTTTGGAGTTGTTGCCTTTTTGTTCATTTTAACTTTTTGAACATTGTCCGGAACATTACTTTAAAATTATAAGAGATATCAACATGAAACTTTGTAGGTAGATAGATCCCATTGGGTGGAAATGCAGTGCAAAAGAACCATAGCTCTGTTCAGCCCTGTATTTGAATTATCTCCCCTTTTAGAAAAATCTTGTCCGGGACATAATTCTAAAACTATAAGAGATATCAATATGAAACTTTGTAGGTAGAAAGATCTCAATGGGTAGCTGTGCAGTGGACAAGAACTGTAACTCTGCCATGCCTTATTTTGGAGTTATTGCCCTTTGTTCTTTTTTACATTTTGAACTTTGTCCAGAACATAACTCTTAAATTATAAGAGATATCAACGTAAAACTTTGTAGGTAGATAGATCTTATTGGATAGAAATGCATTTTAAAAGATTCATAACTGCTCAGCCCCGTTTTTGAATTATCTCCCCTTTTAGAAAAATCTTGTCCGAGACATAACTCGATAATTATAAGAGATATCAACATGAAACTTTGTAGGTAGATAGATCTCAATGAGTAGATGTGCAATGCATAAGAACCATAACTCTGCTTTGCCAAATTTTGGAGTTATTGCCCTTTAATTATTTTTACACTTTGAACTTTGTCTGGGATATTACACTAAAATTATCAGAGATATCAACATGAAACTTTGTAGGTCAATAGATCTCATTGGGTAGAAGTGCATTGCAAAAGAACCATAACTCTGGTTAGCCCTGTAATTGAATTATCTCCCCTTTTAGAAAAATCTTGTCCAAGACATAACTCTATAATTATAAGAGATTTCAACATGAAACTTTGTAGGTAGATAGATCTCAATAGGTAGATGTGCAGTGCACAAGAAACGTAACTCTGCCTTGCCTTATTTTGGAGTTATTGCCCTTTGTTCATTTTTACATTTTAAACTTTGTCAGGGACATAACTCGGAAACCATAACAGGTATCAACAAGAAACTTTGTAGGTAGATAGATCTCATTTATTAGAAGTCCAGTGCAAAGAACAGTTACTCTGCCTTGCCTTATTCTGGAATTATTGCACTTTGAACTTTGTCCAGGGACATAACTCTGAAACTACAAGAGGTGTACTTTCCTGTGTCAAAAACCTATTCGGGGAGCATCACCCAGTTCAAACCGGGCTCTTGTTATTGTTATATTTCCAATATTATAGTAGCTGATTTTAATCAGATTTGCTCTTGTGCGTTCGTCAGTCCATCAGTGTGTTAGTCACATCCATGTCTGCTTGCTTGATAAATTTTACGTTTTCAAGGTTTTCCTGTCTTCATACTTATTAAGGAGAATAATTATTACTAGTAGATGAATGCTCTAGATTGTGTGGTCATTATGTCAAAGGTCAAGGTCACAGTGACAGACACTTAATGTGAAATCATTGTCTGCTTAATAACTTGAGAATGAATAAGTCTGGGTTTCTGAAACTTGGTAGGGACATTGCCCATGGTCTGTAGATGACCCCTATTGATTTTGAGATAATTTTGGCCAGAGGTTAAGGTCTGAATGCTACTTAGTGGACACTTCTTGTCTGCTGAAAAACTTGAATGGGGGCCTAAATTCTCGAAACTTAGTAGGAACATAAAGCTCATGATCATTTAACGCCCCTGTTGATTTTAAGGTCATTATGTCAAAGGTCAAGGTTACTGAGTGACAATTAGTGGTGGAAATTCTTGTTTTATTTTAATTCTTCATAGTTCAGCATCATACATCTTGTACATAAATTGAACATATGATGCTCTGACAATCTTGATAAATTTTTAACTGCATGAGACTTAAGATGAAAAATGTTGTTAATAACATTTAATATTGTAAACATGTCAGATATGGTGAAATAAAAGACTTCCTGATGAAAGCCTAGATTTGAAGTATGGTAAATTTATACTTTAAAAAGTATCAAGTTTTGCTGTTTTGAATATTTGTAAGATATCTGGTTATATGGATGTCTACACCAGATTGCTAAAATGTAGTATTTTTAGTGAGATTTGATTTTAAGAAGTTTATAGTTTCGAAATATACTACAAAAGGTGAATAAAGTCAATGTGTGTTGACTATACAAGGTGCCTAATTGTCTTCCTCTAGACATCTATAAATAATGATTTTATGCTGTTTTTCCCCCATTTTATGATGTTTTCTTTTCATTTTATGCTGGTCTGTTTTCATTTAATGCTGGTTTGTTGTCAATTATGCTGGTTTGTTTTATTTTGGTTTGTTTTTAAGTATGCTGGTTTGTTTTCATTTATGTTGGTTTGTTTTCATTTGATGCTAGTTTGTTTTCATTTATGCTGGTTTTTTTTCATTTTATGATGGTTTGTTTTCATTTTATGATGGTTTGTTTTATGCTTGTTTGTTTTATTTTATGATGGTTTGCTTCCATTTAATGATGGTTTGGTTTTATTCTGATTTGTTTTCATTAAATATGGCATTTGATTGGTCAGAATTGATGCAGCACAAAATCTACTGAAGTACTCTTTAAGTCTTACTAATGAAAATACTGAGATTTGAAACAGAACTCAGAACAACAGTTTAATAACCTTGGTTAAAAACCGTCACAGACAAATTCTGAAAACACAACAGAGCCTGCTGCTTTTAAATGCAGATGGCGATAAAATGATTTTATTCTACAGCAATAAAATCAACCGTCGTTAAACAGTTGCGTACAATTTTATTATCGCGAGCATGTCAGGTGGATGTTATTTATTATATATTATATGAGATTTTGTCACACAATATAATAATATAAAATCAATTTAGGGCTTCTCTCCAGTGCCATGACATTTTGGTCTCGAATTCATAGAATACTCCACCGTGTACTATCATATAACGATATTAATTTGAAAAAATAATTTCAAAGGAAGGAAAACAGCAGGTTTCTGTCTGCGAAGGTTTTTATTTAGAAGTGACATTTTATCCATGATTTCTCGACTGTTAAATGCAGTGTCATGAAAAGTGCCGTCTTTTCTTTTACGCTGGATTTTCTGTCCTTAGATCTCAAAGGGATTGTGTATATATGCATGTAATTGTATTGGAGAGTCATGGCATGTCATATATCAGACAATCTCCTGGTGGTATTGACATGTTACATATGTCTTCTTTTTTTGTAGGTTCTGTAGATTAAATGTTTTTCAAGATAATGTAAATGATTTACATAGGAAATTGTAGCTCAGAAATGAGTAATGTCAGGGGGGGGGGTTTTGTGTGTGTTTTTTTGTTGTTTTTTTTTCACTCAAACTTTTGTTATTTTGTAGAATAGAAGAAATATTGAAGATGCAAAATTCTAAAATAAAAGGAGATCCCAGCAGACCTATAAAAAAATATATGTGTACACTATTCAATTAATTAAAACCTGCAGACTCAATTTGAGTCTGATGGTGAGAATTATGATATACTGAGTGCAGTAGATGTTGTTTATAATTTTAAAATGAGCTGGTCCCTCAAATAGTGACAGAGTTATGGCCCCTTGAACGGCAATATTGATGCATATTTTGATTTATGTACATTAAAGCAATTTCTGAGTTTTGATTTATTTTCAAACAAATTTACATGCACATAGAAACTTGTATCACAAGAAGGAGCTGGAAAAAATGCTGAAAACATCATACATTACAAAGTGGATTAAGCCACTAAAAGAGCAGAAAAAGATGCCAAAATGTTTGTAAGATTTTTACGACTTCATTTCCAAAATTGCGAAGTCTTCAAGTCAGTTTTGTATGTGGTGTTGAACTTTGTCCTGGAATGACCTTGAACTTGATCTAGTGACCTACTTTTTCATAATAGACATTATGGCATTGTCTAGCACTTGTATTCAGGTGAAGGATCTAAGGCCATCATGGATTAATAGCCTATTTGTTTACACATTTTGTATGATCTTATCTAATTTCCTGGCATTTTATTTTTAACCAGTATTTTTATATATTTTCAGAATTCCAGATGTATGTGAGTCACCAAATGTTAAAAAGGCCAAAGATCTAATCCAAGATTTGTCCCATATCAAAGACCAGGTGAAAGATTTGGTAGAGGTAGGTAACCACATATATTACAAAAAAATCCAACTCAAGCATCTGCATTTACATTATGATTTGCTTGAAAATCCACACAAGTACAGTAGTTTGAATTGTAGGGCATTTTTCAAGATCCATAGTAGCGGCATGGAATTTGTTTGAATTATTTAACCTTGTTAAGTACAAAAAAAACAACTGGTAAGCCTCGTAAGGTTTTATTAGCAATTTGTGTCTCCTCAGCTACTGGTTCAGTCCACCTGTGTAACTTTCATACATGTTTTTGAGGCTCTCTGACCAAGACCTTTAACTCTTTTTGTATGATTTTGCTGAATTACTCCCCCTTATAAACTTTAAAAATTCCTGCAAGAAGTTTAGTTTGATCTAAATTTGTTAGGTGAATTTGCTTTTTCATTTTCTTAGAGAAAAGTGTAGGCCACAGCTTACACAGCCTATTGGAAGCTGGGCCAGATTGCATGGATGTGCATTTAAGAAATGCAGCATGTTAAGGGTTCAATAATGAAACAATTATCAAGAAAAAAAAGTTATTTAAGCTATTATAAGACACTTGCAGTCAATGTTTCATTATTTAAAAGCTGTCAAAATTTGCCATAATATCTAATTTACTCTATTAGTGATAAGATTTAACAATGTTTATGAAAATGATAAATTCAGTCAAATTTTGCGTAATATAGTTAAACTTGTTAACAAAGGCCATTCAAGGAAGAGGCAAGACATGTCATTTATAGACAAGTGGTCTTTTTGTAGAGGTCATTTTGTTCTTGTAATAAATGAAGGGTCTCTAAGTGGCCTTTATACCCATAGTGATCTATATTCAGAGGCGGTCTGTAATACAGGTTTGACTGTAATATAAAAGTGTTCTACCCATGGTGAGTGTTTTGACATGTTTCCAGCTTTTTACATTATTATAAAATTTTTAAAAAAAAAGAAACATTGCATGTCTGAAGGCGTGCTGCTTCTGGACAGATTTTATTTTCAATAATTGTTGTTGTGTTGTTTTATTGCAGGAGAAGGAAAACTGGAAGATCATCACCAAGGATAATAGTATTCTAGTTCAACCAGTAATATATCTTGATTTCTTTTCCGTCTTTTTGCCCTGATATATATAAATATATATATAAACTGTCAGCTAAACATACTTTTTATTCAAAATTTTAATAAAACATGTCGTTTTCTCGTGCGGAAAATTATTATCACCAAAGTCCTTTTAGTAAAACAATAACACATTTTTGTAGCAGTCTGCATGGAAGGAAAGAAAGAAAACATTTTACTTATCTTTCACTTCAGATGAAAATAAATGACTGAATTGTGTTTTAAAATCTATTTAAATTTAAGGCTTTGTAGATGTCTGCATTTATAAAGGTTTGCTTTTAAACAAGGCTAGGAGATGAATGTACCAATTGCATTTTTTGTCGTGTTTTCCGTAGAAATTCTCATCAAATGCCGGAAAAAGCTTATATGAAATCTATATATTGTTCTTACCTAGGTCTTTAAAGGAATGGCTTTAAATGGAAGTATGCAGTTTGTCGTATAATGTTTGATAGTATATATTATAAATGGAGAACCACGTTAAAGGTTTTATTCTCCTCCTCCGTCTGCTACTCATTAAAGTTTCACAATATTTCCATTTGCTTAAAAGCTGACATCGTCCTATATTATTAATGGCAGATGAAATCGACATCACAAATTTTGAAATTATTTATTGATGATTGAATAAATTGTTGCACAGTTGCAGAGGTTCTGCTTGATTTTGCTTTAATGATCATTGAAGTTATTCAGAATGTGGTCTGTTTGATTGGAACAAAGCTGTATAATCCTAATTTAATGAATAAATGTTATGAGTGAGGTACTATAGCTGACACATTAAAACAGGCAGAAGGTCTTTAAATATTGTCAAAACTTTATTGAATTAAATATGAAAGATAGTGAAAGATTTTTTTCATGAATTTTGCAAAGAAAGTTTGCCAAGTATATTATTCTTTAAAGCAAAATAAACCACAAAATTTGACAATGTTTTGTATGAAAAAAAATGATCATTAATTTGAGGAGGAATCTTAACTATTGGCCGTATTACATATTATAATACTGCATTTTTGTAATGTCGCTTTTCATCGGATAATCTTGACGTTTATATGGTTTTATATACAAGACTGCTGTCAATTTTCTAAGAAATCTCACATTTTTCTCAAAACAGGAAGTTTTGCGGTATTAAACATTTAGCTGCTCGGATAATATTTCCAAAATGAGGCCATATAGCCTGTCAAAAATCTTTATAACTAATAAATATATCAGTATGTAAGTTTTATATATAATACATGTACATAAATTCATAAAACATTTTGTAATATGAAAAAAATTTCATCTCACAATATTATAACTACTTGAATATTTACATAATTTGCTGATTTTGTACGTGTATATTTTGTAAATACGTAATACATTTTTTTTTCAGGAAGTGGGTAAGCCTGATATAAGTCATTCCAGTCATCTGGGTCCTTCACCCTTGGACAGCTATCTGGTAAGTGATCACAAGTGGGCTGAAGTGGTGACGTACTTTTGTCAATTTGATACGAAACTAATAAAATTTCTTGGTTCTTAGGTCCTCTCACATGAGATTTAACCTTTTGGTAATGAAAGAAATAATTGATAAGAAATGGTGGAGAAATATATAGTTAATTGTTCCTTCATTGTTCACTGTTTGTTTTTGGTCTGTACTAGTAAATGGAGAAATTGATATAAGTTTCATGCCTTGAAGCCACAAAAAGGGCCTTTGAAACATACTGGTCAAGATAACTGGGTTTTTGTCAGCAGCCATCTACTGCTATATGTTCAAATCTTATCCTGAATTTTGGATTTTTTGCATGTGAGCAAGTTATCCAAAAAGGTTACACAAAGTGGGTGTATCTGCTTAGGTGTCAGCGCCTGCCTGAAATAATGCACTAAGGTGTTCCTAAGGTGTTTATGGATGAGTAAAGTGAAAAAGTCACAATATGAACTTTAACATTGCCATTGTTACTTTTTAAAAAATGTTAGACTACAAAAAAAAATGGAAATATATGTAAAGTGTTGCATTATATTTTGAATTTTGGCATCAACTGTAGGAATTGAGTGGCTATTAAATTATTATGTTTTAAACTAATCAAAGCGGCCTTAAGCTTTTGTGTTTTTCTTGGAAAAACACGTGTTGTTTCAAACTAAGTATTTTAGTAATTTTATCTTGGAAAAGTGCATCATATTACTCTTAAACCTTCTTCAACACAGCATCCTGAGAGCTATTTTTAACGTGACTGTGACTTTCATTTCTAAAAATAGAAGATCGGGGAAACAAATCCTCCGCATTATTTATTTACATATAGAGAGCAGACCTGTAGATTAGATTAGTAACGAGGGGTTTCCTTATTATTAATGTATTTTAATGACATTCTTTTCTTTTGACAATTATATGAAAAAATATCTAAAAATAACATATTTAAACATTAGAAAAGCTTAAGGCCACTTTAGATAATTGCCGCAGTTTTTTTGTTTGTTTCGTTTTCACTTACATTAATATGCAAGATTAAACCATTAATTGTTATGTCATACCCTGAAGGCCATTGTAACTTTGAATGAAGTTTAAAGTAAGTAAGTACTATTAAGACTATAAATAAACACACTTAATACTTACTTCCAGTAGCTTGACACTTCACACTTTAAGTGTCAATACCAGGAATGCATCTATGCATCCTAAATGATCAAATCTTAAGTACATTTTTAAGGTTTGAAAGAACACTTGTTGACAACTTTAGTCCCTTCCCTGTTTTCCTTTTATTTTTGGTATTTTAAGGTACATTGCATGTACATTACATGACTTGTACTATTGGAAATGGGAATTTTAGCAATGCTTTGCTCAGTACTAGGAATTTAATATCTTCCGTGGTTGTCTTCAATACATCCACATATATCTTTATATGAAATTAGGTCATATGAACTTGTTAGTGCAGTAATGGGTTAACTCCTATTGAAATTTAATAGGAGTTAACCTGTTACTGCATTAAGATGTTGATTTATTTTACAACAAATTACAATAACTATCTTTGGCACAATTATTTCAATTTTTTTTTTTTTTTTGGCCAACAACTGGAATTTTTTTTTTTTTTTTTTTTTTTTAAATATCACTTTGGGATTGCTTTTGAATCCCTTTGGGTCAAGGTCACTATTTCTAAAAATAGAAAAATGATTTCTGGATGATAAATAGAACAAGGAATGAGATGTTGAAATCAAACTGTGTATATAACAAGCTTAGGTGGAGAACTCGGATTGCTTTTGGGCTCCCAAAGTCACTGTTACTTAAAATAGAAAAATGTTTTTCTGACGATAAGTATAGACAGGAAATAAATATTGTAATCGAGCTTCTTATTAAGCAAGCTAAACTGCTTGGCTTCAGATGACTATTTTTGTACATATTATGCCCCTTTATATCTTTTTTTTTTAAACATGTTTTCCAGATGTTCCTTATATTTCTTTTTAACTAGGCAATTCCACATATTTCTCTTTTAATAAGGCAATGAATTGTTGTAAATATTGGTACGCAGATTACACAATGTAAAATACAGGAAGAGTTTAAATTTGGATCGAGATTACTAATATTTCCCATTGTTATGGTTGCATATGGGTGGTATGAATCACCTTTAGTGATAGCTCTAGTTTCATCTAAACAAATCTGAAATTGACAATTAAGACTGTTTCCTATTCTTGATACAAATATGACACTGGATATGGGGGTGTAAATTGTTCTTGAAAATGATGCCCACCTATATGGAAATGCAGTTTATGTGCTATTCAATGACCTGTCTCCCAGGAACGGTTTCAGGCCTCCTACACAGGTGTTATATAATACTGAAATTTTAAACTTGATAATAATAAAGTTCTATATTGGAAAGTGATATAATAGAAAAGCAGATTCTTATTTGAAATTGAAATATTAGTTAGGCTTGGCCATTTTTATTGGTCTTTTTTTATAAGATATAATTGTCAGAACAATCTCTCTGCAAATCCTTGATGGAATTTGATGATACTTTCCTTTATAAGTTTACTACTCATTTATCATGCTTCTTTGTAACTGTATAATCAAGCATTTACTGGACAAGTTCCCCTTGGTTTCAGGAGCATCCCTTTATTTAAGAAGCAAAAATTTGTTTTGGAAAAATCCATTGTTTTACTGGGAGCATCCAGTGCTTTGAAACATACATGCGTTTTGGAAGCGCCCATTGTTTAAGACATTATCCTGTAGTTTTGGAGCATACATTTGCTTTTGAAGCATCCATTGCTTTAGGGAGCATCCTGTTAGTTTGGGAGTATACATTTGTTTTTGAAGCATCCATTGCTTTAGGGAGCGTCCTGTTAGTTTGGGAGTATACATTTGTTTTTGAAGCATCCATTGCTTTAGGGAGCGTCCTGTTAGTTTGGGAGTATACATTTGTTTTTGAAGCATCCATTGCTTTAGGGAGCGTCCTGTTAGTTTGGGAGTATACATTTGCTTTTGAAGCATCCATTGCTTTAGGGAGCGTCCTGTTAGTTTAGGAGTCTACATTTGCTTGTTTAAGACAGTATCCTGTAGTTTTGGAGCATACCTTTGTTTTTTGGAAGCATCCATTGCTGTAGGGAGCATCCTGTAGTTTTGGAGTATACATTTTGTTTTGGAGCATTCATTGTTTAAGACAGTATCCTGTAGTTTTGGAGCATACATTTGTTTTTTGGAAGCATCCATTGCTGTAGGGAGCATCCTGTAGTTTGGGAGTTTACAATTTTTTTTGGAGCATCCATTGTTTAAGACACAATCCTGTAGTTTTGGAGTACAATTTTTTTTTGGAGGGTCGATTTGTTCTGGGGAGTGCCCAATGTTCCGAGAGCATCCTATAGCTTTGGAAGCATCCATTGCTATTGGTTAAGGGAGAATCTAATAATATAGGGAGCATCCAATAGATTATGGAGCATCCATTGGTCAAGGTAGTATGTATTGGTGCATCCAAAAAGTCACTGATGTCTTAGTTAATTGGTCTGAGACACACAATTTGTTTGGACGTACATGCTTAAGATGAATATATTAATTTTATCATAAAAGTTGAAATTGCATTTACTGTAGAAAGTGTAAGAAGTACATATAACATGATATTTTCAATATAAACGCCCATGCTTTTTGAAAACATTGTGTAACCTAGTTAATGAGTCATGAAAGAAATGAGAGAAAAAAAACGGGTTTTGAATAAATTTTCCTCATTCTATTTGCTTATTAGTATTCAGGTCACAGTCTAAATTTAAATTTGAGTACCAGTCAAGTCCCCACAGACTGTGTCCTAACAAATGGTAAAAGTGATCACATGATTAATGTGAATGTATTGAAATTCATGTCACAGTCCACAGGCTGAGTGTCTGGTGTTTTAATTGTGGTGTTTTTTTTTATGTAATTTGTATTCATGGTTATACCCAGTTTTACATTATATAGATTACTAGACTCCCAGTTTCTTTGATGATTGAATGATTGTAAATGATACAATTATGGAAAAAGGAAAAAGCGTATTTACAAAGTTGTATCTACACATCTTATTTACGGCTTTAATATATAATTGCATCATTAATCATACTGTGTCATGATTGTTTGTGAAAAATTTCATTGAATATTTTTGTGTGTGAGAAGTTGACACACACAAGCACAATGAAATGTATGAATGGCTTTGATATAACAGGATTTTTTTGTTGATGATTCATAAATAAAAATGATATATCGTTTTATTATGGAGCTTTATATTGTAACAAAAGTTTTATTATGTTACCTATTATTTAGTTGTTTTTTTTATATTTTGTACGCAAGGTTATATTTTTATTGTTGTTGTTTTTATAGAGATAGACATATTAAAATTGAAAAGGCAACTAATGTCTAAATAAATTTAGGAAATTATTTTTGGATTTAAAATCCATTATTATTTATTTGTTTAGTTATTTATTTATTTGTCTATTTTAGTTAGTTACTTAGTTTGTGAGTTGGTTGGTTTGTTTGTTTGTTCATTGGTTTGTTCCTTTGTTTGTTTGGTGGTTCATTTGTTTGTTTGTTCGTTTTTCATCTGTTTGTTAGTTAGTTAGTTAGTTAAACAACATAAATAATCAATTATTATTTTTTAAAGGTTTTGAATACACAAAAAAAAAGATTACAAAGAAAAGATAAAAAGTGTAAATATATCTTGAAATTACATCTGCTTAAATAATATATGTCATAGTTATTAATATTAAGTAAAACCACCTTGTTTAGAATTAAATTACCCCTTAACTTGCTGAATTCCTAAAATGGACTTGTCCAGCTTACAAATTGGAACTGTCCATTATCAGTGTTGGGGATATCAAGATGAAAAGCCAACAGTATAAAGGCTGGTCCGTCTGCTCACATGTACAGGCTGGCCTGTGGCTCTATACTGGTGGCAAAAGCTTAAAACAATTGTTCAGTTGCATCAGTGTTACGTTTAAAATATGTCATATATATTCAGTTTT